TTTCAATCAATTTATTTTCAAATTTCTAAGTATTAAAATTTCAAGTAATAGCATGAATAAGATTTTTTATAAAAAAATTATTATTGTTAAAAAAATTATTAAATACCTAAAAAATCAAATATAATAACTCATAAAATTACTTTTCCATCAACTAAAACTATTTTAATAATCCGAAATAGTCTCTATCACATTTCAAACTAAAAATATTTTACAATTTACATATTCATACTTTTTAATTTTACAATCTTTTTTATTAAGTGAAAATTGATAAAAAAAAAAAATACATATTTCCTATCCTCTAATTGATTTACCCCTAAATTTTTTTTAAAATTTTAACAACAATATATTTCAAAATACATATTTCATATCTTTGCAATTGATATACGGGCCACGAGTTGATTGAGGTTCGTCGGCAGAAGGATGGCGTCGTTCTCTTCCCTCAAATCTGCAATCTTCGAAAGAGAAGAGAGGAAACAGTTGCGTCTCAATTCATAATTTTCATTTTTGATTGAGTAGTTTAGGGTTTGCTGAAATGAAATGAATTCGTGTTTCAGGCAGTACCAAGCCCAGATTCGCGGCCTCAATGCATACGACCGCCACAAAAAGTTCTTGAACGATTACGGTACCACTCCCTCTTCTTCATTGAACGATTAGGGTGTTTTTCTTTTTTACTGAGATGGATGTAGTATTTGATCTACAAATTACAACGCACCAGCCTCAGCCATATGCCAAATCTCAAATGTGATGGATTTCTTATTTTTTCAGCTCAGAAATCAATATTAGGGATCGAACAACTATACTTACTTTGTTCTCTGTTTGTTTTATTGCTATCTAGTTTTTTGATTTTTTTTTTTTTTAAAATTATGCTGTCTTTTGAATGCTGCTTCATTAATTGAAAAAAGGGACACCAGGGCAGATTGGCAAATAAGGAGCTCTGTATTTGTTAAATCCTTGTGTCCTAAAGCAAGCAAACGTAATGGGTGATGAACATTCTTCTCCTTTAAGGAAGGAAGGAGGCTACACTTGCCCATACATTGTATTCCTTTTTTTTTTTTAATTGAATCTTTTTCTAATTGTTGCTTGACAGTTGCCTTTTATGGGAAAGAAAAATCTCAACATGTAAAGTTGCCTGTTAAAACTGATCAGGACACCCTTAGAGAGGGATATTGGTATGTCGTTCTTGTTATAGTTTTTTCACTTGTTGTGCATATCTCTCTAAGCTCTACCTATACACAACTATTTAGCATTTACTTTTTGATTAATTAATAAAGGTTCATACGTTCAGAGGAAGATGATCAAAATCCGTCCTGGGAGCAAAGGCTGGTCAAGCGCTACTATGATAAGCTTTTTAAAGAGTATCCTTTGACTGTTTGAACCTCTAGATTATTCTGTGTGTTCTTGTGATCAATTCATTATCCTGAAACGAGAGGTTTAGACGAAGATTCTTTACCAACAGCATGGAGCAGGCATTAATCCACGCTTGTCTTTCAAGTTCCAAGTTTAATAATCAGTTGCTATTTTTCCTTCTGTTTTCTTTAACTTGTCCTAGATACTGCATAGCAGACATGTCACAGTATAAAAGTGGCAAGGTATCCATCCAGTTGCTAATCATATTTATACTTTTTTTATTTTTCTGTTTTATTTTGGAATTTTTTTAAGTGTTTGAATTATACTTATAGATTGGTTTAAGGTGGAGGACAGAGAAGGAAGTCATATCTGGTAAAGGTAAAAATTCCATCTTGTCTTTGACTGATTTAATTAAGATATTCTCTCAAAAATTCTGAATTTTTTGGTATTACGTATAACTTTGTCTGTGAATGGTATAAGGGGATTTATTTATTTATTTTCAGAACTAGTGTTTTATGCTATTCTAGACTTGCCTTTGT